AATGAAAAACAAAACAAAACAAAAACATAAACGTGAGCTTAAAAATTCAAATTATATTGGGTTATTCCTTTCTTGGTATGTAAGACAATGTCCTTCAGAGAAATAGATGTTCAACATCAGGATGTAACATCAGGAAATAACCATGCCACTGCGCATTTAAGTTGCCTAATGCAACTCTATGCAAAATTTCATAAACCTGTTAAGCAATTTTTAGAATTAATAGCTTTCTTTGGAGGCATGAAGACCAGAGAGGGGAAAGAAGGGCTTACAGAAACCTGCATAAAAAGTGTAGCCCCAAGGTCAGAATCTATCTCTCCCCCAAGCCTACAGCACGCTGTAATTCAGTTCACCTTCTGTTAAAAGGAAATAGAAGGAAATCAGCTGCAACCAGGGGCAGATCTCCTAAGTATCTGTTGGTGACAGATCCAGGTAGATCACTGGCATGATCAATTTCATTCAATAGGATATATAAAAGTCCAGCAAGAAGTGTTGTTGTTTTCATGTTTTAAATTAATGGAATAAAGCACTGTGATCAAATCATATGGAAAGACTGGGAGAAATACTTAAAGCAGCAATGTGAATACCCTGTCAGAATAAATCATAAAGCATGTACATCCACATATATCTCAGGGTGAATTCTTCATGCACTCTGACAAGGCCATTTTGAATTGATCACATCCAGTTCTTCTCGGATAATCATGCATAAACACTTGGCACAACAACATTAATAAGCAATGACATAAAAAATTTATGTCTATCCAAACAGACTCCATCTGAGCAGTTACATGCTAAAATACTTGAATTCCTTCCTCCACTCCCTGGACCAAATTCATTACTTTTTCATTTAAAGGTGATTAAAAAAAAAAAAAAGAGAGAGAGAGAAATAATTTATTTGTCATTTTGTACAGTTCTGTTGGCAAACCCTTTCATTAGAAAAGCAGTATAATAAAGAGAAGCACAATAAAAGTATAGTGGAGACGTTCCTCCCCATCAACTGCATCCATATTCCCTTTGAATCCACATCATGCTGGTTATTCTTAAAGAATTTGGAAGAACTAAAATCTGTACAAAATCTCCCAGTTTGAGTAAATCAGCCTAGTCAGAAAAACCTCTCATAATGTTCATTTCAATTCATTTCTGCTAATCTGTATTCCACTGCATGGAATGGATTCATCATTTAAAAAAAAAAAAAAAAAAAAAAAATTTAATCACAGCAAAAGTCAGGGAGTATTCATAGCAATTACTACTTCACATTCCCACAGCACAATCTATAAAAAAATATTTTTAAAAAATTACAGAAATAATGAAGACTTAAATATTCTTTACATTGTAACACTAAGGAAAACTGAAGCACAACAACAACAAAAAAATATCCCTATATCTTTTTACAGAGCACCATAACTCTCTAGTGAAACTGCAAAGAGTCATCAACTGCTCCAAGAGCCGTACTCAGACAACACAGAAATCTCTTGAAGCAAGAGAAACGGTTACCAGCTGGCATAGAAGCAACGTCTCCAAGTGTCTTTACACTAAAATTCAATATGGGTCTATCCTATTGCTGATCCTGTCACCCAGCTTCTTACTGCATCTCTCAAACCTGTAAAGCTGAATGGACCTTATTCAAGAGAACTAGAAGTTTCAATGAGAGGAGAACAAATACTTTCAAACAATTCACAGTTCAGACCAGACACTGCCTAGAAATACACACATCCTACTTTATTTTTTTAAGATAGCCTGCACTGGGTCCTTAATACTTGGGTATTGAAATAATATTGTTTTGGTTACATATAATCAGTAAACTAAACGTTCAAGTGACCCTACTGGATGCTCTGTTTATGTTTCCATCCTCCAAGCTTTCAGAGAACAAAATTGTGGGGGATATCACAGGAACTATAGAATTATGTTATAAATTGTGCCTCTCCCATTCCCATCGCACCTTTGGTTGTAAGTACCACTCAAAAGTTTTAGGAGATAATATCCACATCATAAATTAATCAATAGTCTGTCACCTTGCTTGCTATGGGAGAGTAGAATAAATTTCAGGTCTGATTTATGTAAAGAGCTGTAGACTGTTGAAGACATTCCTGGAGAACACAATCCAGGATGTCATCACCCATACCAGCAAGTCTAATAGCAGCAGAGCAACCATTACGGATGACATCCTCTGAAGCACAGGAGCATGCCCCATACAGTCTTACAGACTAAGCCCTCCTTACCGTTCGTACCGCCCACAGGTGAAGTTCTCACTTCAACCATACATTCTGTGTCAGCAGAGGAACAGGGTGTAATGATACAGATAATCTCACCTAAGGCATGTCCCAGTAGGTTAGCACCTACTTGCTCAGCATCCTGGTCACTTGTTCTTAAAATTCTAGCAAGTACCTGCTACTTATTTCAGTCCTAAAGTTTCAAAGACTTGCTTTGGTACATCCATCAAGGACAAAGTCATGTCTTCAGTGCAGTTTGAACAGCCCAGGCTTAGGATGTTCTTAAATTCTACTTCATATGATGGCTGTAAGCTAAAAAGCCAAATCAAACTCAAGCCAAATGCTAGTCAAAGTATCTTTATTTTTTCCCTTCCTCAATCTGAAAATGAAACCAAGCTGTTATTTTGATGTTTCTGTCAAAAGGGAACTGAAACTTCCTCTTTTTTCCTTCACTTTTTCTTTCCCCCAGTAAAGAAAATTCTGATTACCACTTCAGAATAGTAGTTTGACTAAAACTGACATCCCTTAGCAGGCCCCACTCTGCAAGGAAACTGTTTACTTCTGCTAGAATTTGCAGAGTAGCATTATTCTGATGCTTTTATCCTCAATTTTCTCCCTTGACATGAACACCAGTGCATACAGTATAAATTTTTGTCTGTGTGCACACTGCTCTGCAGACCCTGTGGCATCCTGCTGAGCTCAAACATTTTGCACCTGCCTACAAGAAGTTTGAACTGAAAGGCAAAGGAAAGCTGGGCGTTTCGTTCTCCTTATTGTATGGAGAAAAACAAACGGGCCCCAGCAAACTGATCCTCCCACGTTACCCTCCCTTTTGGTGTTCCCTGCACCAGGGTGTTTGTGTTTCAGTCTTGCCACACGTAGCCTTTGGAGCTGTATGCATTTGCAGGACATGCTGGGCTGAGGACATTACTGGTACTGATTACCACTGCTCCCTTGCCACAGCCTGTGTAGTTTGAGGTATCTCCCAAAGCACTGCAACCCACACCTTCTCCAAGCTTCTCAGTCACATATAAACACCGAGCTGAAAAGAAGCTGCTGCACCTGTTGTGAATATGAGGGAAACCCAGGCTGTAGCAGATGAAAAGCAAGGTTCTTACTGAAGTCACATGCTGGGGGCTGCAGGCCATTGTCCTCTCCATTTCTAAATGCTACATTTCCCACTGTGAACCAGTTCGGGATTTCTAAACCAACAAACAGAACACGAATAACTTGAAGACAAGCACCTTTAGAACGAGCTGTGCTAAAACCAGAATTTAGCCTACCAAACACACTTGTTTGACTCACTGCTTGAAATTAAAGGTTTTTAAAAAGTAACTGCTAGTGGTAATCAGATAACCACCACTACTTTAATAAGCAAATAAAAATGGTCTATCATGTACATTTCCTTAACTTTAATAAGACAAGTTCATTTTCCTTTGCATATTACACCACCAAGTGGCCTAATGCTCTTCATATTTTTTTTCTATTTACCATGTTTCCTCTAGAGACACCGGTACTGAAAACAAAATAAAATTACAAAGCTGAATTGCTACATAAGATAAATAAATTAAGTAGACCATAACTTGAGAGATTCAGCTAGACACTTGTATCACATTTTCTCCTATTATACCTTATAAATGCAAATTTAATACAAGTATAAGTTTGATTATCCTTTTTTCCTCTTAGCAGCAACTTAAAACTTGCCAGGAAGAGGGTCACCTTTATTTGGGTGATACGTGTGACTAATGGAGTAGTCTGATACATCTCTATGAACACCAGCATTTTCAGATACTTCATTAAACATAAAATCTGACATAAGCAATTAAAATTTGTACTATGGAAAAAAATCTTTGAGAATTTTAAATAAGGTCTGGAAAAGCAAGTGAATCAAGGAAATCTGAAATGGGCTTGCATTGGTTCCTCTGTCTCTACTGAACAAGTAAAGCTTGCAGGTATTTGAAATGAGCAGGACTGCTCTCACGAGTGAGGGCAACAGGATCAGACCAAATATAATCGGTTACATCTACACAAAAATTATGTTGTATCTATCCCAGTTAAAACTAGAGTTCAGACTTTCCATCCTCATTTGTAATGCCCAGACTTACGCTGCTACAAGCTTTATTTGGAAATTTGCTCCATAGTTAGACAACGGTGAGCTAGAAAGTTTATGTTAAAATAATGTATTCTTTAAGCTATTTTATTGAGAGAATCCTACTGAGAGTTAAATACTCCCCCAAGCCTGAGTGATATACTTCTTCCAACACAATTACAGAAAATGCCAAGAAAAATTTGGGACCTGGTTGTATTAAGCACTGTAGAAAACCAGTGGCAGGGTGCAGGCAGGAGTCACATAGATGGGAACTAGACGTGCAGATGCAGGGATACCTCTCTGCTCTGTGGTTTGGAGCATAAAGCAGACAGCCAGAGGTAAGCTCCGGTTCCTTTACCTGGAACTTCTAGTTCCAGGAGGTGCACCCAATGATAACTGCTGCTCTAGGAACCTTACAGCAAAGTAAGCTTGGAGCAGAGGAATGTAACTACAGGGCATGGCAAACAACCCAACAGCATGCAGATTTCTTGCACACCCACTCATGCATACAAACATGATCTGAACTGAAAGAGGACTAGCTAAATCAACAGGAGAGAGGGGAAATGAGGATAAAGCAGGCAGGGCTGGAGCAAGCTATCATGGAGGACAAGAAAATGGCCCTGAGAAACAGCCTCTGCCAGTGACATCTCTGCTCCCTAATATTTTTAAATTATAAATTATTTTAAATTATTATATTTAATTACCTGCTGCAACTGTCAAGGCAGGCTCCAGTTCCAACTTGTTTGCTGCTCAGGCTTCTCTCTCCTGCTCCAAATCCTCCAAAGTCCACATGACCCAGGAGAAGCAGGGACGATGGATAAATTTTCCATTCATCTCCACTCATGAGGGAAGCTACGTGGATCCAGCTGAATCCTGTTTAATTTTTCCAACCTGTGGAGCAATACCAGACAAGAATGAAGGTCATGAACGTTTGAATTTCATGCAATTTCATGCATATCTGGCAAAAATTTTTCTATTTTAGTTCTGAGGTGTGCAATGAGGTCTTTCTTCAGATGCATAAAATTACTTAAAAAGAAAGCTATTAAAAGAGGTGCCCAAAGGATGGACAAGGTCACAGGAAGGATATTTACAAAACACAGATTTTTACAAATACACACACATACCTCTAACAGCATGATCAACATGACTACTCTTATGGAAAATAAAGTAATCTTCCTTAATTACAGTTGAATTACAATCTAATTATAATGTTTATTACAGTCTTAAGGATCCTGGGTTACCATGAGGAAATGAATTAGGATTACTTTTCTTAGACAAAGTGCCATTACTTTGCCACTAATAATTTACCATGTGTTTACGGATGTGATTATTCACCCCCACAGTATGCAGCACTTTGATGTTAAAATGAAAAATAGAAAATGCAACCTAAAGACATGATGGTCTACGTAAATCAATACAAGAATGTCTACATGTGTCATAGACTACAAAATCACAAAAGCTCCCAGTAACTTTAGCATTTCAAGCTTCCCGTGCGTGTACACACACAGAACCTTCTTCCAAAGGCCTCCCTCACGTTGCAGTGCCCTACGCATCTTCCTGCTGTTACCAGAAACATCTACCTCACCACAGCTAACAGAAACAGCGACACACACTACCTCCTCACACTCTTAAATGCTAGTTGCTATAGAAACTTGACACGGATTAAGATGAGGAACATGATCCTCTGAAAATATGCAGCGAACCAAAATTATTAATCCTGCACATTCAACCAACAAGAATGAGACTTTGCATTTTGAATGCCAGACAGCAATAAAGGTTTTTGTAAGCTTACAGCTGGCATTTCGAGGTGATGCCCAAACCAGACTTTTTCTAGGTAGTATAGTCCGTGGAAACACAGTGACCTGAAGCAGATTTCCACATGCTGACAGTTGCTGCCACTGGACTGCTAACGAAAAGTATTTCAAAGCGCATGGGTAAGAGCTTTTAAGGAGATAACGTCCCTTAATCAAAGGCAACCGTTGACACAGAGGTTCTTGTCCCAGCCCAGCTCAGGTTCTTTGTGAGCTGCAGCAGATTTCTTTCTAACTCTGTGGGGCAATTCTGGAACCCATTTGGATGGCATCTAAAAGATTTCTGTTCACATTAGCAAAACATACTCTTGCTTCATGCACTGCAACTTGCAGTCACAAGAAGCACTCCACCATTTTATTACATTTCCAGAAATCATATAGAAAAGGAAATCGCTTTCGCTGACAGAGGTCTTGTTACAGATCTGTGTACACCAAATAATGATAAGAACCGCCAGCTTTCCTATGTGACAATATAGTATATTGTGAGTCTGAAGTAATAGTCTTTCTCTTTGTAATTAATAGGAACTTCTCTATTTCCATTCCCTCAACCAGAAAACGTATTTTGCTCACAAAGCAAATCATATAGGAAGGAAAGATTTACTTCAAAAAGTCATGCAAAAGAAGTAATAATCTTTAACGTCAACTGCCAATGCAAAGTTCTTCAAGCAGAACAAAAGGTTCTGTAACCTTTAGAAGAAACAGAACGTCATCATATCGTCCTTGCTATAAGGCTATATTGCACACTAACCTGAGAACATTAAAAAATACTTGTTGGGATGGAGCAATGATTTCTAATAGCTTCCTTTTTCTTTAGCTGATTTTGTTAGCTGGGAAGATGTACTTTAGAAAAAGTATTACATAGTTTCTGTGATACTTCTTTCATGTTCTCTTATATAGAAACTTTCTAAATTATACTTTTTATGCAGAAAATTTCTATATAATACTTACATAGTTTCCAGACACTTCTACATGTCACTGAAGAAGGTTATAATTAAATGATGACTCAGTAACTTGGTATTAGTATATAGCATACATCATGTAAATATTCTTAAAATAACTAGCAACTAATTTACTCCAGGCTAAAGCCTATTTATGGAGGACTGCATAACTTCTATAAAAACAGAAAACAGTGAGATGACACGTTGAAAAATGGTACAATTTTTAATAGCATTAAGGAAATTTCAGGTTTAATTTAATTTTCTAACTTCAGTTCAGGACCGCTGAAAGAAAAGAGATTTGAGTGCTATCCATTAATCTGACATATTGCAGAGGGTCCTGCTGTATTTGTAATCATTTTTCATGAAACAGACTTGAAAATCCTTCTGCAATAACTGTACCTAATAACTGACCTCAACCTCATTCAAATTTGTCTATTTCAGTGCAGACAATACACCAAGAAAAATGTGCTGAAGAAGGGGAAAAGAAAAAAAGAGGGGGAAAAGAACAAAAAAAAAAAGAAAAGCGTTTGACATCAAATACTTTATCTGTTAAGGACAGTTTGTTATGAATAAAGTTAAAGCCCTTCAGCAAATTAAAGTCCAATGGAAATCAAATCCCAGCATGTGATTTTAATTACAAAGATAGGAGAACAAAGGCTGGTGTTATGGTCATCTGCAGACCGCACAGCATGGACAGGTTACAGTTTCTCCTCTCTGTTGTGATTTAAAGAAAAAGGAAGAGAAGAGGAAAAAAAGACAAAGAGAAAACAGAGGAAACAGAAGGGGACAGTACAGTACAACAAAATACTCCACCACTCAAGTACTGATGCAAAATTTACACCTCAGAGTTAGGCTTATACAACAATTAGTTGAAAGCTAAGTGACAAGAATATTATAGAAGATATACACAGTGTAGTCTTGCTGTGTATCTGTGTAATCTTAGGATTTTGATACAGAGAAGAAAAAAAAAGACAACCCCCCTTTTTTTTTTATTTTTTTTAACCTCTGGTAAGGCTTTGAAATTGTTTTCATAATCATAGCAATTTAAAACAGCTGGACAACACATTCAGGAAGCATTACAAAACCAGAATTTTAGAATGTGCGTTTCATGCCAAGTTAGGTTCCAATCATGAAGTCTAGAATATTGCTAATAAAAGTCACAGAAGTATGAAACAGAATTCAATAGAAAAATCCATAAATTTGAGTCATATTTCTGAAGAAATCACCAGTCTTAAAATTTAGATTATTTTATTCAACTTCTAGATTTCTAGGGTTAGCTTAAACCAGATTTCCATGTCTTTGTCTAGAATAATAGTATGTAATAACTTCTATTTTCATTACAGATTATAATTACAGATGAGTACATGGTTCCAGTAGATGTGAATTTGGCAAAATATTGAAGTGTGAGACTTGCAATAAATCTGAAAGAATATTAAGCTTTCTGAAGCTTATAGCTCTGTCTACGCTGACAGCTTTTTTGCTATGTCACCAGGCAAACTTTGTACCAGCCAAGCTTTAGCTACTTGAGTCAGCTCTGTAAACTACCAGCTTTCAGTTTTACTGGGTGAAAGGAAAATTTATAAACAATGTGATTTCTTGTTGAAAAATAAACATCTCATTTGAAAATATGAAAATACATCACTGGGAAACAGAAGGTCATAAGTCTTTTTCTTTATGGCAATAGAACAAATCACTTCTCAAACATTTAAATGACAGCTGCTCCAAGTTGTACGCAGCCCTTGTGTTGATTTATAGGACATTCAGGACTTCTGTGTTTCCTCTTTACACAACTGAATTCCCCTGAAATTGCAAGAACTGCCCGCGATCAGAGCTGAGAAGACAAAAAGCATTGGAAGAGGATGCAGGGATAAGATTCTTTTAGCTTTCCTCTAGTGCTACAGGTAACAGCAGAGCCAGCTCTGTAGGAAGGAATGAAATGTGCTCAGTTCTCAACGAAGAGACAAGACCCAACAGCAACTCTCCAACACTGCTCAGAAACACAGTATCTTCTCTTTTCAGGCTTCTCACAGTGTGTTTTGAAAGGCTGTATTAATACTTATGGGGGGGAAGAAATACATATCCTTCCATTGGAAAGAAGACATCAAGACAAGGACAGCAAAATGGCATGTATTCTAGGAATGAGGGCCTCTGCTACCAGTTGGAAACGTATCTTCCTCTGATCCAGATGTTACTGAATGAGACACCTAGAAAGGGCAGCCCTCATCATTGGCAATATCCACATGACTTGTTTGCGTATAATTCTCTCAAATTTCATTAGATTCAGGACGAGATTAGTCAGGAAATTTCAGAAAAACAATTGAACAAATGGTCTTGCCATATAACATTTAGAAGAAAAAACTTAGAAAGTCTGCCAGTTCTCTTGTGGGAATAGAGGATATAGCAACTTTTTTTTCCATTCTATAAAACATGTCCTTTAAATATTTACTAGACTTGTATTTTCTGAATGTGGCCAGGTCCCAAGCAAAAGCCCTCTACATCTCACTAAAGTATGCTTAAGAACGTTCACTGCATATGTAATAAGAGTATTAAAGGATCCAGATGTGAAGTAGAAAAACAACTGTGTCTATTATAGCTGAATTTCAAACTACTGGAGTAAGATCAAGCAGGAAAGCTGTGGTTTATTCCAGAGCACCACCCACACAATTCTCTGAGTAGGTCACCAAATGACAGTAAATCTCCCCAGCACAATGCAAAACAAAGCTGTCACATCTGATTAAATTCTCTGTGACTGAGTGGCCAATGGACATTTCTCTGGAACTTCTCAAGCTTAAAAATTAACCTTGTGAAGATGTATATAATAAATCTCTAATTAACATCTAATTATTATTTTCTTTGGCTATGGAATATCACATATGAGTCAACAAATTTGAAGAACAGTTACAAGATTATCCCTGTTACAAGATTAATCTGTGGGGTTAAAATTGAAGTTTCCCTTTAGAAACAAGCACGGTTTATTTCTACACTTAAACTTTACAGAAGTAACATTTTGAGAGGCGTCACGGGGCAGGCGTTAACAGAAAACGGTAGCTACGGCAGCGTTGTTGAAACCGTGGAGGCCTCAACAAATACGCTATTAAATTCCAAGGAGTTTATAGGAAGCCTTAATTTCCATCTAAAAGTT